AGATAAAAATTTCTGTCTCCTATACTCGATCGAGTACATGTTCATACTCGGTCAAGTATAAAGGGAAAAAACACCTTATTTAATCCCTGCCTCCCGTACTCGATTGAGTAACCTTCCATACTCGGTCGAGTATAATCAGAAAATGGCCTCCCTTAATCCCTGTCTCCGGTACCCGATCGGGTATACAAGGATACTCGATCGGGTACCCCTGCGAATATAACACCAAAAAAACCCCAAAAACACTTCATCTTCCCCAACTCTTCCCCAAATTTCGAACAACCCTTCCCCCAAACTCCATTTTTAACCCTTGTCTCTACCATATCTCCCTCCATTCTCCACCAAATCAACCCATTCCCCCACCAAAATACTCCCCTCACTCTCCTCTCCATATCTATACCCATAAATCCCATCTTTCCCCAAACTTCCACCAAATCAAAAAAAAAAAAACTACCCCATTCGAATTTGAGCTCCAAAGCTTCAACAATGGCTCCAAGGAAGCAAAGGGGAGAAAGTTCAAACTCCATGGCACCTATCCCCGGCTTTGAGGACATAATTCCCGCCGATAATGAGCACCGGGCTAGACTCCTCTCCACTACTAAAAGGCAAGTAAAACCTTCCCGTTTCCTATGCCATAATGCTCTCCATGAATTGGGTGTTTATAAGAGTATGAAAAAATTCTTTTATGAGTTGAGTATGGATCGTATCTTCAAAATGAAATACAATTCGAATGAAAGAATTATATATGAATTCATGAGCTCGGTGCAATTTGAGAGTGATGAGGATGATTTTAGGGATGACAAACTCAAGTTTCGTTTGTTCAATCGAAATTATTCTATTACAAAACTTGAGTTTGCCGAACACTTTGGCATCCCCGTGCCCTACGAGAGAGCTATCTCGGATACCACCATTTTTGGGCACTCCCTATGGACAAAGATGACCGGGGAAGTGAAATTTAGTTCATCCCAAATGTACATTAGTCATGTCCAACACCTCGTTCTCCGGTTGTTCTTGAAATTCTTAGCCAATTGCTTGCTTGGCCGTCCCAACAACCATCACACTCGAATCGGGGACGTGTGTTTAATGTCCGTGGGGTTATTCCGTCGTCACGTGGATTTTAATTTGTGCAATCTCATGTGGGCACATTTGAAGAAAGAAAGCTTAGCAAAAGGGGCCATAGTTGTGGGGGGAGTGATAATGCACTTGGCAAGTAAGTTCGGGTATACGGACAACTCTCCTATACCCGACTATTGCTTGATGGATATGGGTTGGCTAGGACGCTCGGGATGTACATCTTTTTCCCATACGGTGTATATTGGAGACCAACCCAAAAACATGTACAATTGGGTCATACACGTACAACCTAACCAATATTTCCTAATGCCAAACCCAGACACCCCCAAACTACGCTACAAACCGGAGTTCGAGGAGCCTCATTACCTATTCCCTCACGCACTTCCACCACATCTCCAAGAAACCGACGCCCAAAACCCCCCCGAGGATCAACACGACCAAGAACAACAAGAACACCAAGAGCCCGAGGATGCACCTCACCCCATGCTCGAATACAACCAAGCCCCACCACCCCCCGATTACTTCCAACAATTACTTGACGGGTTCAACCGAGTTACCAATGAAGTTGGTAAGTATCGGGAAGAACAAAGGGCGGGATTTCAAAGACTAGAAGAGCAAAGGGCCGAAGATAACCGACGGTAAGAAGAGGATCAACGTAGGTTCTATGGACCTATGTACTCTTACATGGCTCATCAAGGCCAATTCCACACCATGGCTCAACCACCACCACCACCCTCTTGGTATGACCCCACTCAATGGGGTAATTTTGGAGGATCTAGCTCCGGGGGTGGAGGTTTTGATGGCGGGGATGACGGCGGCGACACCCACATGGGCGATGGGAGCTATGGAGGAGGCTTTGGAGGCGGCTTCTACGGCGGAGAAGGCGGGCACTAGGGACCGTGCTTGATCTAGGTGTGGGGGAGGAGACTAATCATGGTATGTAATTTCATTTTCTACCCTTTACTACGCATGAATTTCTTTTACTCTTTGTACAAAAAACAAAAAAAAAATGGATAAATAAAAGAATTGAAATGCTAGTTAGGTTGAAAACCCAAGAATGGGCAATCTAAGCAAAAATGGCTTATAAAAAAAAAATGAGTGAGTTTGGATAGGATGGAAAAACAAAAAGAGATGCTAGGATGAAAACCTGAAAAGGCTCCTAGGCAAAATGAGAGATATGAGAGAATTATTTGTTGTGTGCAGGAACTCATTTGATCTCTTGAGGAGAAAGAGGAGAAAGCAAAGAAGAAGAGGCAAGAAGATGGAGCATAGAAGATCATAAAACCCAAGAGAAAAATGTTGTGTGTAAAATCATTCTCTTATTTCTTGGTGGTCTTAGTTCCTTTCTTTCTTGAACTCATGGAATGATCTTAAACTGTTTTGAAACATTTGACTTTACTCGAGGACGAGTAAAGAACTAAGTGTGGGGGAGTTTGATACACATGTAATTTCCATGTTTATGTTTGCATTTTTAGTTACTTTTTGTAGTTTAGCATTTTGGAAATTACACACTTTTGGTGTAATAGTTTAATTGTTAAAATTCCTGTAAAAAGTTTAGATTAGGTTTATTCAGGGCTCAAACAGGTCTACAAGCACTCAAAGGATAGTTGGTGAACCCCAAAAGTGGACAGAAGGTACAAAAATCACAAGACAAAAAGAGAATCCTGATTTTGGGCTATACTCGGTCGAGTATATATATATATACTCGATCGGGTATCTGGTTGACATTTCAAATCGGATCGGATCCGAAAACAAAGGAACATGCAGGAGAAGATTTTCCCACGATCCAGTGTCTATACCCGATCGGGTATACCTTTATACTCGATCGGGTATCGCTATAAAAACTACCCGAGTATTGATCGAGTATAGAGCAAATTCGATGTTCTACACATACTCGATCGAGTATGTATACATACTCGATCGAGTACTCGACCTGCACCTCAAAAAGCCTATAAATACACCTCTTTTCCTTCACTTTGAGATCACCAATTCCTTTATACTCTTAAGCTCAGTTTAGAATAGAATTCCTTTATATTTCTTTTAGCATGTTTAGTCTCCAAATGAGGAGCTAAACTTCCATTTCTTGGTTTTGCTCTTGAAGCTTGATTGATTATTAAAGTTGTGAGTTATTTTCTTACTTTCTCCTCTTGATTATTGATTCTTCCCTTAATCTCATTCTATATCATTGTCGGAGGGTGACTAAGTGACGATTAGTTAACGTTCCGACATTAATTATTACTAGAAACGTTCAACGAACCGATGGTTAAACGTTGAAGGTTTCATAAGTAAGTAACTTCGGTTTATTAATGCACGGTCGTGGTTAATAAACTTAAGAGGGATTAATTTTGTTGGTTAAACCGAAACCGTTGTGTTGAGGTTATCAATCTCAATTGATTTCATCAAGGAGTTAAAGAGGTTAAATGCTACTATTAAATCGGTATACGGCGTTGTTCTATATTTGGTTAATAGTAAGGGTTATTAATGAACGGTCGTTGTTAATAACTGCCCTCGATGAATTGGATATACTCCTCGATTGAGTATTCGAGAGGGGATAAGTTATAGATATAACAATGATCAACTAAAATATATCAACAAGTGGAAAGTAGCAAGACCAAGTCCCTTTTATTCCTGAATTTAATCCCATATAACTCGTTCATCTTCGTGTTTAATTTAATTAAATCACTCAACAAACAAACCCCCCCTTTATTCACTAGTTCATAAAAAGAGAGTTATTCCTTTCCCTGTGGATACGAACTCTACTTCACCTATACTACGTATAAGTGTTAGTATCGATTTACTTTGAGTGCATTCACGACAAAGTGCACGTCAGTTGGTCCCATCAATACTTGTGTGTTGAGGCATGTATTTTGGCATTCACTTCAACACCGAAGCTCTGATACCAAATGTTGTAGGCTGCCCAGGAATTTGTGTAAACTGAAAATATGCTGACAGAAGAAAGAAATCTCACTTAGGCATTAAAACAAACAGTTTTGGTGCAAGAGTAAAGCTCTCTGTTAATATATGAAATGGAACAACTACACACACACGAATGAATCATGACAGATGCAGAAATATATAGGAATAGAACGACAGTTAACCAAGCTACTATTCTGCCTCTACTCCACATCTCCACTACTCAACAACTTACTAAAAATATGGAAATGCCTAAAGAATAGGTAAACTAGCAACTGAAACATATTATTTTCTAAACAAAAATATTAAAGCTGAAATATAGGAGGATTAAATGCAACACAATGTGCCGCCTTAAGATTTATTTTACTACCGTAAGGGTAAAATAGCCAATGGAAAAATAAGGTTCCACCTTCTAATAATTATGTACAACATCTGATCTTATGCATGAGGTGTGCAGACACAATTTAGGGGTACCAATATTCATTCATAGTTATATTGTTGTTAGATATAATTTGGACGATCAAATGAGAATGCACTCTATGAAGATAATTAGAATGAACCGGAATGTTGAATCAGAACGTTAGATTTGAAAATTGCGCATTATGTGAAGTACAAATATGTGTTACCATAAATAAAAAAATGCAGTAACATTTTTTAAATAAATTAAACATTTCCTGTCCATTTAAATATAAATATTTATTTATATTTGACTACCTAAATTGTTTTCAAATATACTTATTATTTATATTTATATATACACATCTATAAATATAAATACATACATATAATATTGGAACACATAAGAGTAGAGTTTTGGAAGTTGAATAATTTTTTTTGAATTTATTGTATTGTCACGTGTCATTTTTGCACACAAAAGATGTTGGCACATGTCAAGAATTCTCACAGCGTTGCTTTATGATAGATTAAGTCATTAATTTGAGAGTGTCTTATTAAGTTGAATTGGGAGGAGGGCCAATACTAATTTCATACTCCGTACGTAGTATAACAGCCGAACAAGCATAATAACGGACGTAAGACGGGGAAAAGAGTTTGAGATAAAGAGAAAGAGGATGGCGGCTGGGTTAGGAAAGAGGAGCAAAATAAACGGAGTTTTCCACGACGATTTGTTGGGGGAGGTCCTGCAGCGTGCTCCGCCTGAATCGGTGGCGCGTTGTAAAGCCGTGTGCAAGCGGTGGCGAAACCTAATCTCGACCCCTTTTTTCTTCGGCCGTTTTTGCGGCCACCACCACCAGCTGCTAATTAGCGGCGAAGAGGAGTGCGTCGCCACGCGCTGCTCCACCAAGGGGCAACTGTTCATCTTTCATCCCCGCTTTGAGCGCCAATTTTCCCTGGACTTCCTGCCTTTTGACGAAGCTGCGAAAAGAAAGAAATTCGTGATGGGTTTCTGCGAAGGACTGTTCTTGTGCGAGCCAGACGACGGGATCGCAGATGAGATGTTTTACCACATAGCCAACCCGATCACCAAGAATTGGGTCGGGCTCCCAGCATCGCCAAAGGTGCGTTCAGATTTTGAGATAGCTGTGGGCTTCGCCTATTACCCTGGCCTTTCCGGCCCTCGCTTCAAGATTGTCCAAATTCTTTCGCCCATTCACACTGACCCGGTGTCAGACTTTGAAGTGGACATCTTTTGCTCGTGGACCGGAAACTGGGCTCGGGGAACGGTTACATTTCCCGAGCCCATCATGTGGACGTACTTCATGCTAATGCAAGCTGCCGTTTTCTACAAAGGGTACTTGCATTGGATGGATGGGGGGATGAGGACAATTCTCTACGACGTCGAAAACGACGCGATCGCTTGTGTTCTGAATCGGCCCGAGGGCGCTGCCGTTGTCACGGAGGAGTTGTTTTGTTTTGGTACGTGCGGTGGCCGGTTTTACGCTTCGGAGCTGCACCAAGCGACATTGAGGATTTGGGAGCTGAAGCACCTGCAGGGGCAACGGCCTGAGTGGAGTATCCAGCGGCAGGTGCACATTCCAATAATACCAGCTACACGCAGCCTACCATTGCTGGCTATCCATCCATGGGATATGAATGTTGTTTATATAGGTTATGGGAAACGGGCTATTTCTTGCAATTTGAGAACCTATACTCTGAAACCCATTTGCAGGATAGTAAGGTACCGTTTGACACCCCTGAGGCTTCCACACATTGCATTCGATATGACATATAGCATCATGTTTCCCCCCTGGCCAACTTCCATCCCCAATACGGAGAATGTGACATCCAGTTCCAAAAAGCGAGAGTTAATTTAATTTAGGATTTCTCAAAAAAAAACTGTTATTAAAACCCCTTAGTTAGTGCGTGGCTTCAATTATTAGTTGGAATCGTAGATTCCGGCCTACACTTTTTTTGTTTTTTGTTATTTATGTAGGATATTTTGAACAAACCTTATCGGTACGTAATTAGATATTTCAAATGAGTGTTACTTAGTTTTTATTTATACTTTTATGTTATACAATCACATTTTTATTACAATCTACATACTTTTATTTATATTTTAAATATATGTGTGGCTGACTGGCTGGGCACTAAAGTAGCTCGATAGAGTTAGTTTTGACAATAAATATATCTGATTATGTTTTATATGATTATGATTTATCTCATTAAATTTTATATGACTAAAAGTGGTTCTATTCGCCTGATCATAATGTTCCTGATATGGCTTTTTTAAGGTCTAGTTCAATCTAAACTGATTTTTTTATCTGCTTTGATATGGAATTTCTTAAGGTGACATGATCTGATTTGAAATCTTTCTCATCTGATCTGAATCTTTCAAATCTAGTCTGATATGTTTTGAATATATTTCTCAATGTGATTGAATGTTGATTATTATATATTGTTGTTGTTATCATCACCACCACCGCCATCGTAATCACTGTCACCACTACCACCATCATCAACATCATCACCACCACCATCACAATCATAATAATCATCATCATAATCACCGACATCATCATCACCACCACCAACATCACCACCATCATCATTATCAACATCATCACCATCACAGCAATTTGGAAACATACTGTATCCATTTGATTTCATTTTTGAATTCATTGATTATTGGCTGTATGGATATAATCAGAAAGGTTCTTGTCTCTGGCATTTGTATGGACCATCAGTTGTTTGATCTAGCTTTAGGTAGTAAAACCTTTAAAATGGAAGTGTTGAGATTAGTTGGTCACCATGGCGCGCGGAAATCATCCTGTATTCCTATCTGAAACCTTCACAATGGAAGTGTTGAGATTAGTGCCTAGAATCACAATTATGCAGTTGATATTCAGTCCCTCCCTGAATGGAGTCCCTATATCGTACACCCGGGTGTACGTACATCCAGCCCAATTAATGAATTTGACAGGTGGGCTGACATCTCGTTCCAGGATTCCTTTACAAAAAAATTAAGAACCCCAGCAGGATTCGATCCCCAGACCCGTAGTAGCATATGCAACCTTCCAACCATCTCACCAAGTCATCTTGTTGGAATAATCTGTTCTTTTATCTTACTTATCCTATATAGTTTCATACTGCGTATTAATAATAATAATTATAATATTAACTATTCTTTTGCCTTTTCTCATTATTACTATATTAAAAGAGTAATTTATATTTTTGAAGTATTTATTTGATCTATTAATCATACTATTAATTTATATAAATATAATTATATTTTTTTTTATATAGTGTTAGGTTTCTAATAAGCCTGATGCTCATCAAAATTGTTTTAATGATCATAATAGGTCTGATGCACATTAAAAGTTTAATAATGCTCATTTAACAGAAACACTGATTTTCATCTCAATAGATGATATTTGATGCTCAATGAATATGTTGTTATTCAAACTAACAAACTTTGCGATTTTCATATCCTAGGAACATTTTGTAAGATGTGCATGCTCATCCGGTACTGATCTTATGCTTATTTTCTAAATGTCATATCAGCATATTTTCTATAAAGTACTATTTTACATTAGGTTCACATATTGAAATTCATAGAAGTTGATTAGAAATATAATTTAATAAGTTTTTATAAAAGGAAAATTACATTGATATGACATTGTAAAAATGAGCATAACATGAGTACCAAGTGAATTGAACATACATAACTTACAAAGTGCACATTGATATGAAAATCGTAACGTTTGTTAGTTGAACATCATGACATTTTAATTGAGCATTCAACCTCCACTATTGAGATGAAAATCACGACTTCTAGAGAATGAGTAATAATGAACTTTGAATGAGCATCATACCTATTCTGTTCAGTATTAGGAGTATAATGTTCAGAATCGTAATATCTGCTTCATAACTTCTAATTCACTTTCTTTTTGTTATTTTTATCGTAAGGTTTGTTAGTTGAACATCACGACATTTTGATTAAACATCAAACATCTGCTATTGAGATGAAAATCACAGTTTCTTGTGAATGAGCATTAATGAACTTTTAATGAGCATCATACCTATTATGTTGAGTATTACGAGTGTATCATAAAATAATACATTTAGAAAGTGAGCATAAGATCAGTATCAGATGAGCATATGTAACTTACATCACGAGTATTAAGGAATTTGTTAGTTGAACATCACGATATTTTCATTGAGCATCAAACCTCCTCTATTGGGATGAAAATAATGATTTCTGTTAAATGAGCATTAATGTACTTTTAATGAGCATGATACCTATTCTGTTGAGCATTAGTTTCATAAGTATTGATATGACATTTTAAAATGGACATAACACTACTCCTGAATGAGTATACATATATTATAAAATGAGCATTGAAAAATTCAAAAGTTCATTTAAATTTTTCTAATATGCTCATTTAAATATATTTAATGAGCATCGAACGCATACAAATGAGCATATGTAACTTACAAGATGAGCATTGATATGAAAATTGAATGTTTTGTTCGTTGAGCATCAATACATTTTCAGTGACCATCAAACCTCCGTTATTGAGTATTACAATTTGCGATTGAGTATCATGATTTGTGATCTCGTGTCTATAATCAACTCCTATATAAATTTAATGTAATAGAGACTTTTGAAATATGCATTGCTAAAAACATTTTAAAAATGAGCATAACGGAGTTACTAAATGAACATATATAATTTACAAAATGAGTATCCAAAAATTCAAAATATCATTTGTGTATATTCATTTTTAGGCATTTTACTCATTTGAGTTTAGAGAAAAGCTCATTTCTAATATGCTTAATACTCCGTATTAATATATAAAGAAAAAGAAAGAAGTAAACAACACATAAAGAAAGGAAAAAAGTAAAGAAAAAAGACAAAATTAAACAAAACAAAGACCAAGTAGCTAACGGTAAAAATAAAGAAAAACATGAAAATAAAAAAGACAAAAGTAAAAATGTAACTATCAAAACTAAAAGGATCCAAACTAAAAACGTAACTATCAAATCAAAACTAAAAACGTAAGGAGGATTGCGGCTGAAGAAAAGAGAGAAAAGAGATGACGGAAGAGAAAAAAGACGGAAGAGAAAAAAGACGGACGGCATAAAAGAGATGACTCAGCCAGGGCCGGCCTTGGACAAGGGCAGGCCGGGCTTGTGCCCCGGGCCCAACATTTACAGGGGCCCATAATTATATATAAATGGATAAATATAGAGAGGACAATTCATATCAGACCGAGGTCATTTGGGGCCCTTTATGGAAGATTTTTTTTATGAAACTTTTTTAGAGTATTTTTCATCAAGTGTAAATTACATTCACAAAATTTTAGTTTAAAAATCAACCGGGAAGTCAGTTAAATAAAATATTGAAACACACTGCGCTTTGTGTATATAAATATATAATGCGCACTATCTTTCAATAATTTATTTAACTGACTTTCAGGTTGAATTTTAATCTGAAATTTTGTGGAGATATTATAGATTTCATGAAGAATATATTTAAAAAATTTCATGAAAAAATTCTATCGGGAAGGGCCTCAAATGGCCCCGGTCTGACATCATTTCCCGTTAGGCAGGCCTAATTTCAAGGTTTCATCTTTGGACTTTAATTCGTTTTGCTCAGCAATCAACACTATCCTAATTTTCTCAAAAATATCTTCCAAATTTGAAATTTCAATTTCATAAGTAATGCTCCGATTTATTTTTTATTTTTTAATATAATTTTTATTCGTTTAGTTTATATATTAAGACTTTGATGAAAGACTTACATTACTTTGTATGTTGAAATTTGCGTATATAAAGTTAAGCTTTTGCAATATATTTATATAACCTTTTAAGGGTCTTCTTTTTTCAATTGCCCCGGGCCCATAAAATATCAGGACCGGCCCTGGACTCAGCAGGACAATGATGAGAAACGCTTGAAGTTGGCATATATTACAAAAATACCGGGTGTACCTATACACCCGGGTGTACCATATAATCTACGAGAAAGAAGCAGCCACGTGGCACTAAGAAATGAGAGGAGAAAATTGTGGAGAGAGTGACACGTAAGATTAATGAAGAGTGTAATTGTCTTTTGAGGAGGTATTTGTTTAAGGTGTCATTTTTCATGTTTAATAATTAATTACAAGTTTGTCATTTACCATTGAGGTGTATTGCTAAATTAACTTTTCCTTACAGGCTTAAACACATTTGAGATAGAAATTTTCCTTAAACAATTAAGAAGCTGTTCCGTTCGTCTTAATCTTATTACTTATTCCTTAATCTTATTTTATTCAGATCAGATCAGATCAGATCAGAAAGATTCAGATCAGATCAGATCAGATCAGAAAGATTCAGATCAGATCAGATCAGATCAGAAACATTCAGATCAGATCAGAAAGATTCAGATCAGATCAGCAACATTCAGATCAGATCAGAAAGATTCAGACCAGATCAGACCAGATCAGAAACATTCAGATCAGATCAGGTCAAAAAATTCAAACATGATTTATCACTTTTATTATTATATTAATTATGATTATTATATTATAGTTATTGTTAATAATATTAATATATTAATATAATAATATTATTAATAATAATATAATAATAATGTTAATAATATAAAATTATTATTATATTATAATAATATAATATAATATAATATAATATAATATAATATAATATAATATAATATAATATAATATAATATAATATAATATAATATAATATAATATAATATAATATAATATAATATAATATAATATAATATAATATAATATAATATAATATAATATAATATAATATAATATAATATAATATAATATAATATAATATAATATAATATAATATAATATAATATAATATAATATAATATAATATAATATAATATAATATAATATAATATAATATAATATAATATAATATAATATAATATAATATAATATAATATAATATAATATAATATAATATAATATAATATAATATAATATAATATAATACAATACAATATAATATAATATAATATAATATAATATAATATAATATAATATAATATAATATAATATAATATAATATAATATAATATAATATATTTATAATTATAATTATAATTATGATTTACAATGTAATTATAATTATAATCATCATTATTATTAATATGAGTGTTGTTCTTGTTGTTATTGTTGTAATTATTATTACTTCGGAGTAATTATATATTTAAATTAGTAATTATAGACATAATTATGACTATAGAAATAAATATTATAATTATAATTACAATAATAATATTTATAAAATTAATCATAATTAAAAATATAATTACATTTATAATTGTATCTGTATTTATAATTAGTGTAATTGGTATAATTATTATAATTTTAAATTTAATTTTAATTATTATTTTTTATAATTATGATTATAATTGTAATTTTATTTAAGTTATATTTTTAATTACAATTATAAATCTAATAATTATAATTGTAATTACAATTACAATTATAGAAATATTCAAATCAGATCAGAAAGATTCAGATCAGAAGAATTCAGATCAGATCAGAAACATTCAGATCAGATCAGATCAGATCAGCAACATTCAGATCAGTTCAGCAACATTCAGATCAGATCAGAAAGATTCAGATCAGATCAGAAAGATTCAGATCAGATCAGATCAGATCAGAAAGATTCAGATCAGATCAGATCAGATCAGAAAAATTCAGATCAGATCAGATCAGAACTTAAAAAATTCAGATCAGAAACATTCAGATCAGGTGAACGGAACAGCTTCTAAATCTCTCTGATGGAGCTGTAGATTTAGAGTCCGTTTGTGATAATATCCAAATCCCCTATATTGGTTGGTTCTGCTGAAATTTATAAAGTTCTGGCTGAAGTGGCTGGCTGATTCTGCCGATTTATGAAAAAATTGCATCTAAAACATATTTTATTATTAGATCAAAGAAAAATTTATATGAAAGAAAAACTAATATGATCATCTACAGTAACTTCAACCAATACAATCAGAAAAGTAACTTCAACCTTACTTATTGTTATTATTATTACTGTTATTATTATTACACAATTCATATTATTCAGTCACGTTTAAAGATTCACATTGGATAGATGTGTATAATATTATGATTGTGTTTGGTGATCCTATTTTTCAACTTATAACCATATCAGCCAAATTTTTCACCAAATACTTAATTTTCGATCACGTCGTTGAGTTGTGTAATAATCAAATTAAGTAAGGTTGAACTTACTTTTCTGACTGGATTGACTAAAGTTATATACTTCGTAGATGATATGATCATTTTAACTATTTTTTATTTATTTTATTAATAAAACATATTTTAAATATTGTATCATATTACTTCGTATAACTTAGCAAAATTCATTAATGCAACCACTTCATCCAGAATTTCATAATTTTCAATAGAATCATTTGATTCAACCAATTTAAGTCTTATCAAATGGGCTCTATATATTGGTGGGGTTGTTGGAACCCCACTAAGACATTTTTGTACTTACATTTATCTATACACACAAACAATTCCTTGATATATATCATAATCACGTGTTTCAGTTATTTGATGAGCTTAACAATGAGAAAGATGGTGAAGAGTGTGTCTTTCTACCTATGTTGTAAACATCGGATCGGGTCACGGGTCTACCCGGAACTGGCAGGTCAACTTTTATAAAAAAAATGATAATAATAAATATATATTAATATATTTAAAAGTATTATTTTACACTATGATAAAATAATACTCGTAATATGTAGTTAGCAATTTTTTTTATACTAAAATTGTTTGTTGATTTGTTTTTAATTTTAAAATATTGAATATATGAATATTTCAATATAATGTTGAATGAGAATTCTTAAGTGTTTTTAATATTTAATACTACCTCCGTCCCAAAAAGATTGGCCAAATTAGCTTTTCTTGGTCAATGGTGTTAAAGTTTAGAAAATAGTTTTAGGTATTATATTTATGTGTAATTTGAAAATTGTATACTTTTATGAAAGGTTTTTTAATAAAGAATAAACTCATATATTTTTTGTATTTCAAATAATTTTGTATTCAAAGATTTCATTGGTCAAAGTTGATCATCGTTGACCAAGAAAAGTCAACGATGATCAACTTTGATTGGGGACCCCTTATACCGGAAACCGAGCCGGGCGATGCCCCGGGCGAAAGTTCTGAATGTATACTTAGGAGACCAGGTTTAGATATATACTAGTGTTTTACCCCGGGCGTTGCCCCGGGCGAAAGTTCTGAATGTTTGAATACTTTATAAAATATATAGTTTATAGAATATAAAAATAATTATTCGTTTTACTTCAAATTAATTTTTGTTGATTGTGAATAGTAATGTAAATAAATAGAATATATTAAAAAATGACATTGTAATGTAACACCGCACATATATACATTGTAACCAAACATCACATTGTTAGGTTTAAATTGGGAAACCTCTTTATGAATGACATTCATCGTCTTGGTGAATAAATTTGTTTCTTTTGAACATATGAATATCTTAAGATATCTTTACGCATTACTCTTGGCATTGCAATGTACAATTGATCATTATTGAAACTTCTCTTTCAAGGTTTAAATCATATTTTGTGTGAGACCTTTTTTTGTCAAAAATTGTTTCTTTTGAACATATGAATATGTTAAGATATCTTTATGATAGTCCCTATTTCTAACAATCATACAATCATAGAAATGAAGAAGCAAATAGATTGAACAGAAATCTAGTACATCGTGTAAAAGGCCGCTGCTCTCCCTCTAGAGAGAGAGCAGCGTGAAACTATTCTCTCTATTCTGCCTCTATACTCTATTTGTCTTATGCCTTTTCTTATCTAGGTTTTCCTCATAAGTTATCTTCCTTTTATAGGAGAGGATGAATAACTTATGGCTTCCTATTATAAGTTAACTTATGGCCTACACAGGCCCAATAAGCCCAATGAGCACACAAGGTCCAAACACAACGACCAAGTATTAAGAAGCCCACAGTACATATGTAGGTGCCTTCTGCCTCCTTGGCCGAGGGCTCCAAACTCCACGGGGCAGCTAAATTTGAGCATACAAAGGTATTGGGAGAAAACAACAGAAACCAGTAGCCCTCGGCTACTAGGTGCCCTCGGCTACTAGGTGCCCTCGGCATGCACCTAGCCTTCGGCACATACATAGCCTTCGGTCATACGTGACAGGCCGAAGGGTCTACGCCCTACAAAGCTTCATCTGGAGACAAACAATCACCGCATTCAATGCGGCGTTACATCCAACCACCACATTTAATGCAGTGCATATGCGAGTAGATTTAAAGAGTTGTTTACTCTTGTTCTATAAAGTCTTGTCTGATTTGAAACATACATCATACGTCTATTTAGATCAAATGATATTTGTACATGAAGCTATTTATTTCGTGTCTTGAATATATTATCTAATACTATGTAGTAAATTAACCAATTTGATATATTATTAAATTACATTGACAATGAATAAAGTCATTTATAATTGACATATATTTAGTTCATATTAGGTATAAAAAGCTTATTAAATTGACGTCATAATGAACGATTAATGGGAACACATATTTTTTCACAGCTTAATGATTAAGTCAATTTTTTGAAATGATTTGAATTAAATCATAATAAATAAAAATAATCTAATTACTAAACGATTAAGTCATCTTTTTGGATAAGGCTATTAAGTGATGGTGATAAGTAAACAACTCAATAAGTTTGTTAAAGTTGAGGTCTTGGGATGAAGTAAAAGCTTAACAACACAAAGAATGGGTATTTTATGTTTCAATTAATAGTAATATAGTATAGTCAGAGTTCACAAAAAAGCGGAAGGAGTGTTCATGAAATGCAAAATGAGCTCCCAAACCATAGTCAAAATAAGTTCTCATTGTCAAAATTTATTGTCATTTCGGGAAGCAGGTAAAGGAGTTAGTCAAACTCTTCTTCGCCCTTCGGTTCATCGGTTGTCCTCACCACCGTCTCTCTGTTCATCCACGTTCGCATCTGCTATTCAGCTGGCATCTCCATCTTCATCTCCCCAGTCAGGCAATCATACACAGTACATATATGATACGGAGTATATACATATTCACTCACACGCTGAGACATATGCTTTTGGAGAGGTTGAATGTGTCAATGTGGAGAAAGAGGATGTGCTAGAATTTGAGGATTTAGGGTTTTCAATTGAGGGATGCCGCTGAGCCGGTACAAGATACGTAATGAGTTCAGCTTGGCTGATCCCGAGCTGTACAGGTCCGCCGATAAAGATGACCCCGAGTTTCTCCTTGAAGGCGTCGCCATGGCTGGACTTGTCGGGGTCTTGCGCCAGCTCGGTGACCTTGCTGAGTGAGTAACAATTGTCCTGATGCTTACTCAATTTTGTTTGTAAGGTAGTTTTTGAGCTGTGAGTTGTAGTGCTCCGGAGTCCCGAAATGAATGCCCTGGACATTGGATTTTTTCCAGAATCACTTATTTTTATGGGGCTGTTTTCTCCATTTATGTTTCAACAAGATCTATTTGGATTGTCAAGTTTCTATTTTTTACTGGCTTAAAAATGCAGGCCTGATGTTTTTAAGAATTTACTTTATACTTGATACTAATGCTTTGCCCGGTTGCAATTTGTTTATGAATTTTCAATTAGTATGAATAGCATTTGTGATGGATTTGATCAGGAAATTGATAATCAGTTGCATTAATGTCCAGATATAATTACATTACATGGTAGACGCTTATAAACTTCAGATGAGTGATTACAAGCAATATTTGATTAGGTAAATGTAGCAATAGGCAGATAATTGACTGTATATCGGGGAACATGCAAATCATTAATAACACAATTATCTTTTTTTACACGATTACTCATATTTTGGTTATTTCTGGAAGTAATTGTTTAATGTTGCATTAGTTTCACACAGTGTATTTCATGTGCTAAACCTTGATAAGCAAACATGTTGAATGATCCCCTGCACATGAAGTTAGTATTTTATAAGCTAAACCAACTTTCGAACTGTCATTCTGTTAGTGCGTATCCTTAATGGTTTAGGTATTGTGAATATTGAAGGTTTGCTGCCGAAATATTCCATGATTTGCATGAAGAGGTTCTGGCAACTGCTGCAAGAGGCCATAATCTGTCAATCCGGGTGCAGCAGCTTGAGGCTGATTTCCCGTCAATTGAGAAGGCACTTCTTTCACAGACCAACCACTCTTTATTCTTCTATAGTCCTGGTTAGAAACATTTGATGATCTTGTGATCTTATTACCCAAGTTTATGTTGTTTAGTCCTTTCATGCTCTGATTCTTCATCTTATTTGAAGTGTCTCCCAGTATATATTGTTTTCATTTAGTCTGTAAGTTATGCCAATTACTACTAAATACTATAGATGAATTTATGATTTATATGCTCTTAATTACTGCTCAGTACATTTTTTATATTACGTAAAGTGTAAACATTAATGTGTTTTAAATATCTTAAATGTGTTTGCCTTGGAGAATTGCAGGGTTCTCTATTAAATTTTCTTTGTTTTTGATAGTGTTAAGTAACTTAGATTATATGCAGGCACAGATTGGCACCCTAATATCCATATGGAGCAAAATTTGGTTACTCAGGGTGATTTGCCAAGATTTGTGATGGATTCTTATGAAGAGTGCAGGGGTCCACCTCGCTTATTTCTTCTAGACAAGTATATTCTACTCTATATATATCTTTGAATACATTTGATTAAGTGCTAAAACCCCTTCTGGAAAGGAAAATCACACCTAGATTCAACCTCTATCAGGTTCGATATAGCTGGTGCAGGAGCATGTCTAAAACGCTATACTGATCCTTCTTTCTTTAAGGAGGGAGCTTCATCCTTTGAAATGACACATTCAGATTTTCATAGGGAAAAGAGAACTCGCAAGGCTAAGGTACTAACTATTATATACTTCTATTGCTATAAAAGTATAAATATTGTTTATGGGAGGTACGAGGTATATATACTTAAGATCAGCCAGCAGAAAGTGAAGGTGTTGTTTTGTTATTTACTTGTAGCAGAAGAAAGGACCACGCGGAAGGAATGGTGAAGCCCCTGAGGCATTACCCACTTCACATGCCAAGCAGAAGTGAGGCATCTTCTTTCCCACAAGACATCAAACTGTTGATTCTTCTGTTTCATTTTATGTGCATTTTGTTTACCTGCTTCATATCCATTATTATGTGATGTTGCACAGGCTGCATCAGTTATTCATGGAGGAGGAGCGTTTTGAAAATGGGAATAATAACTCTGTACGCCGTGTGAAATTAAAAAGAAGGCTTAATGGATTTCCTTTTGACTCAAAAACTGGGAAAAGCTACATGGAGAAGTTTTCAAGTACTCCTTCTCCAGAGCATAAAGTTGTTGATGAAGCCTCTTTAGATTCATTACACTTGAAGCTGGCATCAAGTAGTGCGTATCAAACTAAACTTGATTATATTGGAACCAGAAAGGCAAGTGGCGATGAAGAGGCCACACACTCACATATAACCCCATCACAATCTCCATCTCCACCACTAAGTGAAGATAATGATGCACTAAAACAACTAAACAATGCTTCGTATGAGGCGGTAACTGATGATGGAGTTCTAGCTACTTCTACCTTAAGAAGCCATACTTTTGAACAAGGTGACAACTTGTCAACTTTTCGTAAACTGGCCACTCGAAATGAAATGTATACCGATAGAGGAGAGCGCACAAATTGTTACCACTCTGATGATGCTGGCAGTGAGATAGAGAATTATGTAGATGCCCTTGCTAGCATGGATTCAGATTTGGATACAGGCTTCGAGTTGAGAGCCAGAGCTCATTCACGTGCTTTGGATAGTGAAAAGCATCTGACTACTCATCATGATCAGATTCGAACTCGATCTTCTGATTCTCAATCAATGGGCAAGTCCACTTTGTCGGATGATGCAAATAGTGTTTTGAAAGTAGAAGAATCTAGCTTTTCTTCTGGTTCATCTAGAACTTCTCATATAACTATTGCACCTTCGGAATCTCATGCTGGTAACATGACTGATATCCGTGAGATTCACATGTGCTATTCTCCGGTTGACCTGCGATCTGAAGGTGAGCGAGTTGCATCTCCCCAGCTTTCAGAACATGCTTTTTATGATACATCCACTGACCTGGTACCATTGAGCACTTCACGTCTTCTAGATTGCTCTGTGAATCCAGGAATAGCCAAGGGTGGAAATGTCATGAGAGAAGATGCCTTGGTGAAACAAACTACTAGTGAAAATTTATCCCATCTTGATGAAGATCAATATGATTCCATTGGTGTTGCAGAAACTGGAGCTACTCCACATAGGACTGCTTCAGCTTCCATAGATTTTGACAGTTCAGGGCAGACAGTTGATGATTTGCCACCTATAGCGTCTGGTGAAAAGCGGTTGCTAAGTGAGATACATACTGCAGATCTTAATGAGAAATATAACATTGCTTGTTCAGCAAATCATTCTGATGTTCCTTACGACAGTGGCGATGATTTTCCCGCTCATTCACCTGTTAATGTTCACAATGGAGACTCAAGTAACAATTTTTACAGTACATCTAACCCGTTTACTCCTCAAAAGAGAGGCGAACTATGGTCCACTGAAAATAAATATTTGGATATGCTAGTTGGGGAGTTGCTAGGTTCAGATGAGGATACAAACTGTTTAAATAATCTCTCTCATCGCTCTACTACAAACAAAGATGGTTATTTTCCTTCTTCATCTGCCATTAACTACTCAACTAATGAAGTAAATGGGGATTGGAATATCGCCCATGGTGCTTCAGTTCATCTACCAAATATAATGGAGGCTTCTTTAGAAGAGGAACATGTCACACATGATTTTCATATTGCATCCAAGGACGAAACTGCTAAAGATAATTGCTCAGGAATTGGTGGTCACCTTTGTTCACCAAACTTGCCCATGGTACAAACAGGAAAAGAGCCTCTTGATTCAGCTTCAAAAATTGATACCACCAGTGTAAAGCTGGGCGAGACGTTGGTGTCTGAGGAAAAAAATGCTGAAGGTACTTGCAGTACACTTGTAGATGGTAACATCAGTCCAGTTAATATTACCCCTGGTCCAAATTTGACTGTTAGGAAGACCTCTTTACTATCACCTGATTCAACAAGTGGAGAGAACCCAGGTGCATTAAATGAAGTTGCCCATACAATATCTTCTCTTAATTCACATGAGATTGATGTCTATCATCACTTTCAGCCTGATGCACTCATGTTGGATCATAATAAGACCAGGCCTATTCAGCAGCAAGAAAGTCCAATTCATTGTCCATTGCCAAGGTTTTCAGCACAGGACAACCATGAAGGTTCTTTGCATCTGCCAGGCTATGACAGTGTAAAAGGAAATGTGCTGTTAACATGTAATCAAATTGAAGAGCCCTTTGACTCTTCTTCCAAAAGTATGATCGAAAGCATTCCATCTCAACCTTCAGAGTTAAGTATATTTCCACATGACAACCATAATATTAATCTCTTTGAACAGCATACAAATCCCTCAACTTGTATACCACCTGGTGTTGGACTGCAACTTGGGGCTGATCAAACCAATCTTGAGCAAATGCCTCCACTGCCTCCTCTACCTCCTGTTCAGTGGAGGATGGGAAAGTCTCCGCGTGCTTCCCCTCGAGAGAGAGAGTTGACGCAAACCGAAACAGGTTTCTTTTCTAGCTTGCCATCCAAGTTTGATCAGGCAATTGAACCTTTGGAAAAATCACCATTGTCAGCCATAACAGATGAAGCCCCACCCTTTGTTTATCAATATGGTGCAGTGAGTCACGGTTCATTCCCTTCGCCCATGTCAAATGAAGAGTTTGATGATAATGGCAAATACAAAATTAAATTCCCAACCAGAATGCCGCCTGTAAACTCATTCTCACAAGATATTCCTGTTGATAAAGCTCGCACACTTTCCTTTGCGACGTCATCTGAAGAACTTCTCCAGCCTGCTGAAGAGGTAATAAAAGATGCACATTTGAATGGGAAGGAGCTTGAAGAAGACATGAAAAGTTCAGGAGAAGAGTTGGAAACATATCATAGATTGGGACCATTGGTTAGTCCACAGGATTCAGCTTCTGTAGGTTCTTCTCGAAAATCGGACAATGATGGCTCTACAAGTTTGGAGGAGAGTACTGCCACAGACAAAGAATCTATGCAAGTAGTCCCTGATCATCCAGAGGTGGCCCAACCAGAGTTTCACTCATCAACTGAGACAGGCTTGGATGTACTGAAGCTTGACAAAGCATCTGAAACTTTGGAGGAGAATGTGTACAGACATGAAACTGTAATATTGGAAAATGAATCAACTAAAGCTGAACAACAAGTAACACCTGAGATAAACTTGAAGGAATCAGAGTGTGAAATTGGTTCAGTAAGGTTGGAGGAGAAACCGGTCAGAAACGCTACATTACGCTCAGCGCTGGAGGCAAACTTCCGTAACCCGCTGTACAGGAAACCTAATTTAGAAGGGGATATTATATGGCCAGCTGTAGAAGATGTAGCGGTTAATGAGAGCAAGAAAGTGAAGCTTCCTCGAACCCGAAGTCCTCTAATTGACGCTGTAGCTGCACATGACAAAAGCAAAGTAAACACCCTCTATTATTCTTATGTGGGAAATTGCTCTTTGTACCCCGCAGTTACCCCAATATTCAACTTTACACCCGAGGTTTATTTTCTCTGAACATGCTTCCCTGAGAGCATGCTAAAGTAGGGGTGTGAAGTCAAATATTAAGGAAAATCATTAGGTGCAAAGTATAACAGAAATGACGTGTTCTGTATTGCATGCTCAAAGAAAATAAATTATGGGGTGAAAAGTAAATACTAAGGTACCTCATAGGGGCAAAGTTTAATACAAATAACATGTTGTTGGGTGAATTTTCAAAGAAAAGAAAACATGAGATGTGAAATCGATTATTAGGGAAAATAGTACGGTGAAAAATCTATTAGAAATGACCTATCCTGAGGTGTGCATGTTCAGAGAAAATAAAGCATTGGGGTGCAAAGTCAAAGAGTAAGGTAGTTCATGTGGTTCAAAATCATATAGAAATGGCCCGCTTAGCCGCATTATCAATCTTGTGAATAAACATGGTTTGGGAAAACCAATATTCCCTTGTTTGTGTAGACCTTCATCAAAATCTTCATTGAAGCGCATTAACAAAACAATCTGATTCATTTTGCAGATGAAGAAAGTGGTTGATAGAGATAAGTCCCCAGTACAAAAGGCAGGGGAAAGAGATACTCTTTTAGAAGAGATAAGGAGCAAGGTAGGATTAAAATTCAATTCTATTCAATCTACTTCTCTTGTGCTTTGAGATGACTGAACCTTTTTTTAAATAATGATTCCAGTCGTTCAGTCTGAAGCCAACAGTGATAACAAGGCCCACTGTTCAGTTTCCTCAAACCAATCTGAAAGTTGCTGCCATTTTAGAGAGAGCAAAAACGATTCGCCAGGTCTGTGTTGCATTCTGATCTCCACATGATGTATGTTCTTTTGTATAAAAAAGTTACTTATTTTTAATGCAAATTAATGTTGTAGGCTTTTGCTGGAAGTGATGAAGATGATGAGGAGGAGGATTCTTGGGATTAAATAATTCAAGAAAACTCTCTGAATTTAAGCCTCTCAAGTTTCAACCCACACATTCAAAGATTCTTAAAGTTTCTTACCACGTTTTGGTAGCAGCCATGGCTCCCTTTTCCAACTTCGCCCCTGTAATATACATACCCCTATATAGCATGTAATCAGTTAGGGTTCCGATATTCTTCAATATCCCTGGAGTTAATTGGGGAAATATATATATATATATATATATATATAATATACTTGATGTTATGACGTATGAGGTCAGCATGCAAGCACGATGTTATTCATTACTTTGTAAATTTTTAAGCAGTCATTTATTGCAACAGTTTTGTGGTTTACAGATCCACACACATTTGTATAAAAGAGACTCTGGAATTAATGAAACACCAAGGAATGTGGGTATATGTGATGTTGAGTCAGGCTTCTATTAAGGAATTCACATTCATAATCTGGATACTTCACTATCTGAGGACTGAGATGAGCCGACTGAAACGTACGTAAAACCCTGAATCCTGATGCTTAATAATCAAAAGAGTAAAGGGTCAGTTTGGTCTTTGAAGTTGCAAAAAAGGGGTCAAATAAGTCCTTATATAGAAGATTCTGTCCGGACGTGCCATTTGAGGTGGCTCCCGGTAGAATTTTTTGATGAAATATTTTGAGCATTTTATTCATTAAGTCTAGTTTACTCATAACAAATTTCAGCTAAAAATTCAATCGGGGAGACATTCAAATGAATTCTTGAAGATAACTGCGCTTTTAACGGCACAGTTATCTTCAAAAATTCATTTGAATGTCTTCCCGATTGAATTTTTATCTGAAATTTGGTATGAGTAAACTAGACTTAATGAATACGATGCTCAAAAAATTTAATCAAAAAATTCTACCGGGAGCCACCTCAAATGGCACGTCCGGATAGAATTTTCTATATAAGGACTTATTTGACCCCTTTTTTGCAACTTCGAGGACCAAACTGACCCTTATCCCATAATCAAAAGGCTAATCGGAAAGGAACCACTTTATATACCCTCCCACGTCCCACTATGATAGTCAATTAAGTCTAACGTTTACTTAATTTTCATATAGGGGTGGACCCAGGCCGGGCTCTGGGCAGGCTCTGGCTTAAGAATTTCAGGCCAGGTACCGGCCTGGGATTGTACCGGGAGTCCGGGACCGGGCTGGGTCTGAACAGTACTTGGTTGGGGCGGGCCCGGGTCGGGCTGACCCGTCCCAGACTCCCAGTCCATCCCTATTTGCATATCATGTCAGATAGATTAAAGTCATTAAACGAGCAACTCCAATGGTTTACATCATTTTGCTAACAATACTAGTTGTTATACCATGAGACAAGCTCTTTTTGTGCACGGTATTCCCGTGTACTTGTGTAGTGAGAATGATTAGAATGGTGTAATTATCAGTAAGTTATGTGTAACTTTTGGAATAGAAATTCTTGGTGTCATTCATAATACACTTTTGTGTACATATTGTTAAGAAATTAATACAAATAGTGCAAATTTGGTCAAATGTGATTAACTCGTAAGTGTAACATTATTTAATGATAAAAAGCTAAATGTTTGGTACAAATGACTTTTATACAAAGTGTAAATGTGTAATTGTTTTTGTCAAATATGTAAGTCACGTTATACAAATATAAATTGCTCGTGTCAAATATGGAAGTCACGTGACATTAAATGTAACTGTGTGCAAGTTAGATATGTAAGTGTATTGTATTTTTAAGTAATTTATGGAACACACATGAACTTTGTTAGATTTCAAATATGAACTAATGGATCACACAAGTTGAAAAAATATAAAATATATGTTCAGAGAAAAGTTGCAGACTTCCAAATGCAAATATGAATTTTTGTTCAAGATTAACAAAACTGTAGTTGTGAATTAATAGAAAATGATAAACATAAATTTATTTGTAACTTAATTTGAGAATAAGAAAAGTTGCAGACTTCCAAATGCAAATATGAATTTTTGTTCAAGGTTAACAAAACTGTAGTTGTGAATTAATAGAAAATGATAAACATAAATTTATTTGTAACTTAATTTGAGAATAAGAAAAGTTGCAGACTTCCAAATGCAAATATGAATTTTTGTTCAAGATTAACAAAACTGTAGTTGTGAATTAATAGTGAATGATAAACATAAATTTATTTGTAACTTAATTTGAGAATGAAAAGTAAAATTGCGGTTGGATTCTTAATGTTTTGATGAAGAAGATGATAATTGAAGAAAAAATGAGTGGAATGAAAGAAGAAAATGCCCAGACAAATCGGTGAAGAAGCATGGTAATTATAGTTTATTTTAAATATGAAATGACACCTTATTGGAGCAAGCACACAAGTCATGCACATGGTGTGGCTAGATAGATTCTCTACACTATGGGTTAGATAAATAACAAAACTGCACACTTATTCCTTATAAATCATTGTATTGGAGTTGCTCTAAGGTATTCATCCTGAAATTACTAGGAAAACTAAATCTTAAAGAGATAAGAACTAATAGAATAATGTGATAATAATAGCAAACTATATGTATGTATAATGTATTAACTCACTGTCTTTTGATTTGGTAGAATAACTATTTGTTTCTCCATGATAGTCTTCATCGTTATATGAGTGAGTGAGTGACACCATGAAGATGTACTAGCTTGTTAGTTTTTAATGAAGAATGCACCTGTAAAACTGCTTTTTGAATTATTCCATGCACTCTCTATTAATTTGTACATTGGAGAAAGGACTGTTATTATTCGAATCACTATCACTTTAAGATATTTTGATATCATTAGTTGTTCATTTTACACTATGACAATTAGGGGTGGGTACAAAATACCATAACCGATTAACCGAATAAAAAACCGAGAAACCGGTGTATTTTTCGGTTAACCGTACCGGATTTGTAAAAAGTCACGGTACGGTTAATCGACTCTTAAGAACAAATGGTTCATGGTATGGTTACGGTTTTAAAATTATGTTAATCTCGTTAACCAATAACTGAAATTTGAAATAAAATATACTACGATATACGTTTATTGTATGATGCCATGTGCTTTAATTCCCTCTAATAATGCGCAGCTACGGTAATAACTCATACGGAGTAATAATTGTTATTACAAATCAATACTTTATGCTCAGATAAATAAGCATATCCGAATATTCTCTCTAATCCAGTGAGCCAAAATATTCGTAGTTCGTTACAAAGTCCATTTGTAATGCTCATCCTATTGAACTAAGTGTTGCATATGCACATTTTGGTAGTAGTTTGTACGTTGTACTCTGCAAGTATGATGGGGCTCAAATAAAAAATTATAGGTTTGACAAGTTTATTTTTTGCTTTCATGGTTTTATGGTTTATTGGTTAACCGATAGTGGTTAATTGAAAATTTCGTTAACCGATGTCCAGTTAACCGATAACTTGGTTAACCGAAAACTGGTTAATCGAAATCCAAATAACCAACCGTGCCACCCCTAAATTGACAATATGATATCCATAAATAGTAATAATACTTCGAATTCCCTCATTCATAATGATGTGTAGGTACACATTTGTTTAATTTTCTCAGACGCCTTAGCAATAAACGTGTCTTTGATAATAATTCTCTAAACCCGTTCCAAACCGAACCGAATCGAAACTAATAAAAACCGAACTGAAGACGGATATGCCCAATCCTAGTATATAATAAGGCCCTTGCCTCAGGCATTAAACATAGGATTTTTCTTAGTGTACATACCATGTACACAACATGTACATGGTATAAAACCCAAAAAAAATCTCATTTCTTCCCTCCCTCCTCTCTCTCGTTTCTCTCTCCCTTCTCTCTTCCCCCTCTTTCCCTTCTCATTTTTCTCTTTACCCAATCTCTTCTAAAATTCTCTTCTTTCCTTCTTTTTCCTCTTTTCTCTACCTTTTTACATCAAATTTTTTTCATTATTTGCATACAATTATCTTATTCATCTTATTTCATCTATTCTGATTAATTTTTGAATTTTTTTCAAATTACATGTAAGTTGATTATATATACAACTACATCATTCATTTGGATGTATATAGACAATTAAATTTTTCCTTCACCTAGACAATTGAAATTGATCACACCGACAACTAAAGTTGATCACACAGACAATAGCTGTCTGTGAGCCGCACAACTATTGTCTGTGTGGTAAATATTTTCTGTGCACAAAGACAGGCGACAACTAATTGTCTGTGCAACATGAAAAAATTGTTTGTGCACACAGGCACTGCACGCTGGTGTCAGTGTCAGGCTGTTGTCAGTAGAGCTGTCAAATGGGCCAACTCGGCCAAACCTGACCCGATCCGTAATGGGTTATGCTTTATGTGGGTTGGGTCGGGCCAACCCGTTTAATGACGGGCCATGATTTCTACAACCCTAACCCAACCCACCTAACCCGTGGGTTAAACGGGTTGGCCCGCGGGCCAATTTAAAAAATATATAAAACGAATTTTTTTAAAAAAAATAATTACCCGGAAATATATATTTATATTAGCAAGTAGTAACAGAGGAAATATAAGAAATCAAAATACTAAAAATTCAATACTGCTTAAGTTTAATTAAAAATATCAAAATACTAGTTATACGGTTCGATTCGGTTTTGAAGGATAAAAACCAAAACCGAATCAAACAAATACGGTTCGGTTCTTTACATTCGGTTTCGGTTTGTTAGTGGTTAAGTTTTATTTGGCTACGATTTGGTATAATTTGATTCGGTTTTCAATTTTCAGTTTTTCGGACCCTACCCAATTTAAGGTGTTCCTGGTCTCGCACGCCTTTTGGCACGCATAGTATTAGAGTATTAATGCGAGGCGTTTTTATCTAGCTTCAAGCCTACGCCCGCCGGGGCGCGCTTTGAAGCTTTTTAGAACGCGGGTTTGTTGTTGGAAAATTTTAGGAGATGAGAATATCACGGTTTAAGAGGTTGTTTTCTCTGTCTCGCTTCTTTCCCGATGATCCTCCTGCTAGTTACATCCAACGAACATTGTTTCGGCTCCCATTTCCGGAGGAGGGGGGCTGTATTTCGAGGCGTAAGAGGGAATGCAGTCCAAAGGAGAAGAGAGACTGCAGTTTCCCAAAAGAGCCCATTTCAAGGACTACATTAAGGCGAAAGCCAAGCTTAATGGAGCAAGTTTATGAGTCCATACCGAGATATCCTGAAACCTCAAAGAATCTGATAAAGGTGGAAGAAGGCATGGTTGTGGACGCTGGCTCTATTCTATCCATGTTCCCTATGGAGATGAGAAGGCGTGTCCGTGACAGTAAATACCTTATTGTGTATTGTTTCATGGCACCAATACTTTTTGATGATTGTCAGTCGAGGTCTATTGGGAGTTTTGTTTCTGTAAGTTCAGAGTTGCGCACTCTGTATGGTTCTGACATTGAGATGATACTGGTTGCTAAGATGAGACAAAAGTGGAGCAAGGATAAGGCTAGCTTCGACCACTTCTTCTCTGGTTTCCCTTCCTTCTCCAATGTCATTCCATTCTCAAACACGACTGCTCATGATCATATATGTTTGCAACTTGGTTTGAACTCTTACTTCCCCATATATCTCCTCCTTGAACGTTTCTCTGCATCTACAAATTACTTTTACAGGGGCTTGAGGCACCGTGCTCTTAAAGATTTTGACTATTACGGGGCCGGTTTGTTTCCCTTCACTCAAGACATTCTCGAAAACTGGCGTATATTCCGTGGATCCGTGTATAGGAAGTTCCCTCCTGATCTTGACAAACTTTTGGGTTGCAAGTCCTCTGAATTGCAAGTCTGTAAGTTTTCCACACTTACGGGTGGTGGATGAGGAGCCGGAGCTGAGTCGATGGCATTATCAGGGTTAAGAGGTAAGGTTATGGGGCTGTACTTGTGCTCTAATGGGTCTATAATTCCAGATATTGATATGGTCTGTAGACAATGTAGGGAGAGAGGCTTTGAGTTTGAGGTAACTGTGACATTATAAGAGTGTAAGTGGCACAACTTCGTGGGAGGATTGTTCTCGTTCAGTTTGGCACCAATAACATTTCTTTTGAGTTTTTAAACAATTATTATGCTCACATAAAGGGTGCATATCCTAGCATCGAAATTGTCCTGGTTCATTTACACCCTGAAGAGGCAACAAAGTTTGACGTTGGTGCATTTGATTTGCCATGGTTGGTGTGCCCTTTTGAGTCAGATCACTCAACTTCCTTATCCAAGGTATTCGGGTGTGGTTTCCCAATCCTCATTGCTTTTGACAAAGATGGTCGTGTTTGTTCATATCATGGAGTTCAAGAACAATTAATGTCAAACAATGTTGACGCTTTTCCTTTCGATGGCAATCTACGCCAGGGAGTCGTAGCTTTATTGGCTGATAATAGTTATAATAATGTTCCATGAACTTGTACTGACTAGTAATTATAATCGTGATGAGTATAATTGGAGGTGGTAATTGGTTTATTTAAAGACATTGTTTTTATGTTACTCTTTTCAATGACAATCATCACTTGGTAATAATTTAAGTTCAATTGTCGTTATAGCAAGTTTGGTGCTGACTTGATTTGGTTAATTTGCTATTTGGTAGAATTCTTCTAATTTAAAGTTTTTTTTTTCTTATAAATTGATTCGTTGGAATCCATTCTGTTTTCATTTACTTTGTTTTATGGTTCACCTGGAATGCGAAAAAATGATGGAATTGAATTACTCCACATTTGGATAGAAAATCATACTTTATGTTCTATTTATATGCCCCCCCCCCCCTCTTTGTAATTCGAGGTCAATCATACGATGTAATTAGATCTTTAGCGCTCATCAATGTGACCTATGAAAGTATGAATTAAATCTTATTGGAATCTTATTATATATAAAGCATATATATACTAGGTCTTAACCTCAGATATTTTTACTCATACCTAATTTTAGGTAGTGTATATGTTTCCGTCTTTGAAATTTTACGTCAAGTATGCACTCTAAATGACTTTGCACACTACAAAGATGCTAATTGTTAGTGTATCTAAGTTTATTTCATCAAATTTAGGTTGCACTCTTATTTTATTGTTGAAAATACATTTATACGGCATTGAAACTTGTATTGGTATTGGGTGATCAATTCTTGCATCAAAGTTATTTTAAATTAAGTGTCAATTGCTCTATAATCATTCTTTTTGTATCAGAGGAAGAATGGCTGTGATCACGAATAAAAACTCTTTCTTCCCAAAGATCTAGGCAATGGGGTGAAACAATTGTTCAGGGGGAATCCAATTAGGTGGTACTGTTAGTACTCACTTGTTGAAATTTTAGTAAGAGACATATAGAATTGATAGAAAATTTGGAATTCGATGAGACAGATGAGAGTATGAGACTAAGGGAGTAATTATTATCAACTTTCTCTTCCTTTTATCATAATTGGAATTTGAAGATATGGAGCTTCTTCTTTGTCAATGTGAGCATGAGAAAAACAATTCTTTGTGGCTTTAAAAGTGACATTGGTTAGGGCAACATGACTCTTTTGAAAGTGCTCTCCTAATTGTTAAATTGACCCCTTTGTGGTGATAATTGATGTTACCGTAGATGTAGGTTTCCTTATAGAAGTTTCTATTAGAACATAACCACAATTTTCTTACCTAAGTCTTTATTATCTCAGTTTGGTTTCTCACTTGGATGTTTCCTTTTTGTATGGGTCCCGCTCTTCTGAGTTCAGGTGAAAGTTGAGGATTAATGCCTCAATGGTGGTCATTCATTATTGATAGACTTTTTTCACATTATATTTTCAGTTACATCTTATATTTATTCGTATTAGCAGACTCTAGCTTCTTTCAGAGCAAAGTGCGGTGACTTTGATGGTTTACGACTTATATGCTTCTTAATGTAATGGAACTCATGAAATTTTATTTAGCGATTAGCACGAAAGTGTGGCATTCTCTGTCTTCTTGGCTCGTATCTCATTTTTTTTTACTGATTCACATATGGAAAGCTTGCAAATTTTGCTTCCATGCTTGTAGCTTTGGGAGAGCAATATTTGAAAAAGTTCTGCGTTCCCCTCTGCTTTTCTTGTTTCATTTGCTGGTGTTTTTTTGTCTATATGTTCTTACATTATTTTGAAGGTGAAAATGAAATGGCGGCAAATCTGAAAGCGTAGCCCAGACATGATGTCCATGCAATGTGTAAGAGAAACTTAGAATCGTGCCACATTTCTTTCTTTGCCTCAAATTGGATTATATTCTCTGGCTCAATTGTTTGGAATTCTTATAAGGATATATGATGTATCTAAGATGACTGTTTTTCTTTAATGTGTGGTGTGGTTTGAGGTAGGAAGACACATGTACTTGCCAAGTTGCCATTTCATTGGAGTATGTTTGGGTCTTTCTTTTAAGCAATTTTTGTGGGCTAATTAAGCAACGTGAGCTTTGAAAATTGCTTCATTGTCTTTGCCTCAGCGGTTCAACCTAACTTAACATATTATAATTTTGGAGGCCTGATTGTCCTCATTGCTGACTCCACCACCCCAAGAAAAAGGTATTAGAAATGTTAAATTTAGTAAGAAGTAAATTAAAGTAACTGATAATTACAGTTATGGCTTAGAGGAACGATGGGCAATGCTAGTGTGTATGTAAATGTCAAAAACTGCATAGCAGCTACTAAGAGCGAACCGTGTCGTGGCCTTTACAAAGACTGTAAGGCCATACACCATGGAACAGATTACTTAATAGGAGAAGGGTGAAAGGGAACTCCCAAATTTTTGATCCCAAAGCTGGGCTTTGGCTTAATTTGTGGTTATAGAATTGTATTTTTAATCAGGAAAAAAATATTCTGGTTTTTACTTTAATCTTCCCTTCAATTGAAGTACTTGAAAATATCTTTGATGTTAATTGTGCTTTTGTCCATAGATTACCTATGTTACAGTTGGTCCCTCGGGATAGTCGGGAAGAAGCAGACGGGTAAAATTTTGCCTCAATGGCTTGTCTAAGGTACTTTCCCTTGCTAAATGACTTCCTGATGCAGCTCATCAGCTGAAACCTACTGCTGCTACCATTGTAGCTATATCCTTTCCTGTTTGGTGTCTTTCCTTCTTCCTTCCGTTGTAATGAAGTTTCAGAATCAGTCTAGTGCCTTCCAACCCCTTCTCATCTTGGTTGTTGTTTGGACACGATTGAGCTATTCCTTGTAAAGCAGCAGCTCATCTATGCCCATAAATACTGAATGCTTTGATCTGTCCTTGCAATTTAATGTTATGCTCCTTTGGGTTAACTTTAAACATCCTCTTTGCTATTGTAAGGTAAGGTTTGCTTCCCCCCGCCCCTCCTGCACCACTGATGGCGGGAACCTCTTTGAGGTGACTGAGGTAATGAAAATGATGATGATGATGATGATGATGATGAAGATGAGATGACCAGGAACCTGAGACCTACGTTACAAAGACTAAGGCATGAGATGAATCAGTTGTTTGACTCACTAAGGCCAAAAACCATAAGGACCATGTCTAAATTTTGTTCTTTTGTAGGGGTACACATAATTATATTTTCCTTCTTCCTGCCACTCCAACCAGTATAATTTCGATGGCATAACCGTCTAAACATCATGGCTTTGCTTTGCTGCTATTTGGATTACACATCTCAAATCTTTTAACTCAGTTATGTCTAAAGTTTTGTCTCACGAAAAAATGCTCCCATGGTAAAGCTACTTCATATGCCATTTGTGATTGTTCTCCTAAATATATGGAATCAACTTGACAAATATCTGGGTTGTGCGGAATGGTGCATTGACTTTACTAGAGAACTATGCAAATGATAAATTGAAGAGTTTAGCTTCAAAAAGAGGCAATCACATGATGGTTGGTCTGGGTACAGGACTTCCAAAAAGCGAACAAGGTGCAATGGTTGAAGCGCACCCTAGGCCATACAGGGGGTTAAAGTTTGCCTCTTGTCCAAAATGTGTGCACTGCATTCGCCTTGCCTAGGTTGCAAGTGCCCTCATTTCCTAGGTGTGCCTAGTGCCTCTTTAGAACTAAGTTTACCTCTTGGCCTAAATGTTGAGGATTCAAATAAGCTATTAGTTGGAGAGACCACTTTTGCACTTGATATATTTGATATTCGATATGTCCGTCACTATTCCCCACTTTTCCTAGATGATAGGGAGATGATAATTATCCGCCTTTCTTAATTTGATTAATCTTGCATTCTTGAGTTCTCTTATTAATAACATTCCTGGACTTTGAGAGAACAATGACATTAACCCCATTTTGAAATTTGGTATATCTCATAGTACATTGGCGCAGCCCATGATATAGGGAGTGTTTTTGTTTTCTTAAAAAAAGCGCTTTTCAGCTTTTAGATTAAAAAAAGCTGAAAAGAGTGTTTTCAAATGACAGCTTCTGCTTAAATTAATCACTTAAAAGCTAAAAGCTGGAAGCAGGTAGAAGGGTGCTTTAAACTGCTTTTCACTTTTTCTATTACACAAAAAGTACTTATTTTATCAAACACTACCAACTTTTACTTTTTCAGAATCACTTTTTTCTCAAACACTACCAACTTTTACTATTAATCACTTTTCCCAAAATCACTTTAAAAAATCACTTTTTTAAAGTTGAAGCAATCGCAAACACTCCCATAATCTGTTGTGCTATCTTTTCGAAAATGTCTGTGGACCATACAATGACTGTTTCACCTACGCCATAGGCCCATAAAAATTCAGACAGATCAGATCAGATCATAAAAATTCAGATCAGATCAGATCAGATCATAAATATTCAGATCAGATCAGAAAGATTCAGATCAGACCAGATCAGAAAAGTTCAAACATGATTTATCACTTTTATTATTATATTAATTATAATAATTATTATAATTATTTCATTATAATTATTAATAATAATAATATATTAATAATAATATTATTATTTAAATATAATTATAATATAATAACAATATAACAACACTAATATAATATTATAATATAATAAAAATATAATAATAATATAATAATAATATAATATTATTATTAGTATTATTTTTTATTATTATTATAATTATAATTATAATTATGATTATTAATTATAATTATAATTATAACTATAACTATAATTATAATTACAAGTTTACAACTATAACTATAATTAAAATTATAACTATAACAATAATTATAATTATTACTATAACTATAACTATAACTATAACTATAACTATGACCCTGTGGTGTGATAGTCGTTCCGCTCTTCATACCGCCACACAACCCTACGAGAGTACCCTTCTTCGTCCTCTCGTCAGGTCATGCAAGGCATTCAATATCATCACACTAAGTAATTCCATATAATAGAAGAATAATTGTTGAGAAAATGTTCAATGATACAACTGTAAATTAAAGGATAAAAGTTTGGTATAATCAAATGACATTCTGGCACGCAGGCCCAAACTAGAATTTTATGATGAAGAACAGTCTCATGAGCAACTAACAAAATAAAATATGATTCCCAAGCCTCAGGTGGATCCAAAGGAGAGTTAGTA